AATTTTATCACTTCTTATGATCTTGATTTTATGCTTATGGCTGAAACATGGCTGGACCAAAATACAGGAAATGCAGTTCTAATAGAAGCAACACCACCCAATTTTAAATTCGAATCCGAAATACGAGAAAACAAAAGGGGGGGAGGCATAGCTGCAGTTTTTAGAGAGCACTTTGTCTCCCATAGAATGCCCCTTGGAAATGTTTCATCGTTTGAGTATATTTCTTTTAAAATGGAACAAAAGCAATCTTCTACTCTTTTCATTGTCCTGTACAGGCCACCACAGTCATGTTGCGATTTTATTGACCATTTTACTGAACTACTTTCATTCGTGTGCACAGATTTTGATAGTTTAGTTATTACAGGTGATTTTAATGTACATGTTGATAATGTTGATGACAGAAATGCAAAGGAGCTGGCTTCTGTATTTGAGACCTTTGGTTTCATTCAGCACGTGAGTGGCCCCACCCACAGCAGGGGGCACACTCTTGACCTGCTAATTACAAAGGGGGTTAATGTATCAAATGTTAATGTAGTTGATGTTGCTTTGTCAGATCATTTCTGTGTATTTTTTGACATGTGTTTTGCTAGCAAACCACCAGCTGAATTTACAATTGTTAGAAGAAGACACATACATGAAAACACAAGTGAACTGTTCATGGGAATGCTAAATTTTGAGAAAACTCCATGCTCTACTGTTGATGAATTGTATAACTCTGTCACCACCAGTGTTCTGACTGTTCTGGACGCCATTGCTCCTGTGACGGTTAAAATAGTTACCAGTAAGAAAAAGGCCCCATGGACTAAGGCAGACTCGGTCAGGGCACAGAAGCAAGAGTGCCGGAGGGCCGAACGGAAGTGGCGAAAGTCCAATTTCCAGGGCGATTATGAAATCTTTAAAGATGAGTTGGGTGAATTTAACCGGGTTCTACGTAGAACAAGAGAAATGTATTTTTCTGACATTATTGGAGGTTGCAGTAACAATTTTCGTGTTATGTTTTCAACAGTTGGTAGATTAACGAACCCCCCTGTAAAGTTGCCCCTAGAATTTTCCTCTAAATCTAGGTGTAATGAGTTCGCACAGTTTTTCAATGACAAAGTACAAGGAATCAAAAACACTATCACCTCCACAGCACGTATAACAATGCAACAGCCAGAGAAGCTTTTTGAGCTAACTCACTTTGCACCTGTGGATACTGAAACTGTCAAAAAGATAATCATGAGTCTGAGCTCCTCCACATGTAGCCTGGATATATTGCCCTCTAAATTTCTGAAGTCCGTCCTGAGCAGTTTGTTACCTTCACTGACACAAATAGTAAACATGTCTCTGTCGTCAGGAACATTTCCTATGGCCCTAAAAACAGCAGTCATAAGACCTCTCCTAAAAAAGAGCAGTCTGGATCCTGCGGGACTTCAAAATTATCGCCCCATATCGAATCTGCCATTCATTGGAAAAATTCTTGAAAAAGTGGCCTCCCAACAACTTACTGAATTTTTAACAATGAATAATTCTTTTGATATGTTCCAGTCTGGGTTTAGACCCCACCACAGCACTGAGCCCGCTCTAGTGAAGGTAACAAACGACATTCGACTTCACACTGATGCAGGTAAAGTCACAGTTTTGGTCATGTTAGATCTTAGTGCCGCGTTCGACACTGTCGACCATGAGATCCTCATGCAGAGACTGGAGGACTGGGTTGGTGTCACTGGCACAGCCCTAGACTGGTTTAGGTCTTACCTGGAGGATAGGAAGTACTTTGTGGAGATTGGAGACTGCGTCTCAGATCATGTGGCCCTGACCTGTGGAGTACCACAGGGGTCGATCCTGGGACCTCTCCTATTTAATCTCTACATGCTGCCGTTAGGTCAGTTAATACAAAGAAACAAAGTGTCCTACCACAATTACGCCGACGACACTCAGATCTGTCTCACTGACTGCAGGAGAACATGGACCACTGGATTTGCTCCTTCACTGTATCCAACAGATCAGTGACTGGATGCAAAATAATTTCCTCCAGCTAAATGCAGACAAAACCGAAATCATTGTCTTTGGTCCCCAGAAACAAAGAGAGGGCGTCATTTGTCAACTTCAGTCTCTCTCCCTACTTCCTTCAGACAAGGTCAGAAATTTGGGGGTAATACTGGACTCAGACCTAAATTTCAATAGCCACATAAAATCAATAACATCAGCAGCTTTTTACCATCTGAAGAACATTGCCAAAGTTAGAAATATAGTGTCCAGGGCAGACTTGGAGATTCTTGTCCATGCATTTGTCTCCAGCAGGCTAGACTACTGCAATGGCCTGCTTACAGGTCTGTCCAAACAGACCTGTAAGCAGCTGCAGTACATCCAAAATGCAGCAGCTAGAGTCCTGACAGGAACCAGGAAGTATGACCATATTAGTCCGGTCCTCAGGTCTCTGCACTGGCTTCCTGTGGCTCAAAGAATAGATTTTAAAACAGCTCTGCTTGTGTACAAGTCTCTCCATGGCCTTGCACCAGAATACATTAGTGACATGTTGGTGTCATATGAACCGGCCCGGACTCTGAGGAGCACAGGGACTGGCCTCCTGCTGGTGCCCAGAGTGAGAACCAAACATGGGGAGGCTGCGTTTCAGATCCATGCAGCTAAGATCTAGAACAATCTCCCTGAAAATGTGAGGGAGGCGTCTACTCTGTCAATGTTCAAATCCAGGTTAAAGACTGTTCTGTTTGCCTGTGCATACAACTGAAGGATTTTATCTCCATTTCTAATGCACTGCTGTCATTTATTTATTTTTTTAAATTTCTTGTGTAATTTTGAAAGTTTTAATGGTTTTATTCTTTTGTGTGATTTTAATGTTCTAATTGTGTTTTAATCTTTTGTGTGATTTTAATGTTTTAATTGTGATTCTGGTGTTTGTTTTATGTGATGATTTGTGATGTGGACTGTGAAGCGCTTTGTGTTGCCCTGTGTATGAAAGGCGCTCTACAAATAAACTTTGATTGATTGATTGATTGATTAAGAATACAATTTTGGCTTTACCCATGATTGCAAATGTTGGTGGAAGTGACTTTTGGAAGAAATTATTTGACCTCCAAATGGGCTCTTTCTATGTGGAGTTTGCATGTTCTCTCCATGCCCGGTTTACCCAACAACGATAAACATGCACAATAGGTCTGAATGTAATGAGAAAACACATGGATGGTGCTCTATAAACAAGTTTTAGTGTCACAATGATTGCAACAGACCAGCTCCCCTCCACAGACATGTTCTGGTCACTGCAGTAATTATCAATACCATTATCAGTCAGTAATGATCAATACATAAATTTAAATGTAGTACTTTTAATCACATGCATTTGTTTACAAAAAGATGACATTGAACTTAAGCTGTGAACCAAACTGAATTCTCGTGTGGTATTTAGACATACTTTATGAACTGTTCCTGATCCGACCTTTTCAATGTTCCAGTTTTATGACACTGACTTTTTTACCTGTAATAAATATTGTCTGATGTACTTACGCTGAAATCTCCGCAGTAACATCCATAAAGTCATATTTTAAAAACCCCACTGGTTTGTGAGTTTGTTTATATATTAATTAGGATTACTTATTGTTGTACTGCTCAAAAATCACTGTGTTCAATTATAGAAAAAAAAAAAGATATGTTCATACGTAAATAAGTAAAAAGTCTTTACATAGGTTTTTGCTCAAATGTAGTGAAGTCATAGTAACACGTTATACAAACTATGACCCATCTCCTAATGCATGTTTTCTCTTGTTCAGAGCTTTGTAATCATTTCCTGGCTCTAGTTTATAGGACTACAAGTCAATTCTGTGTCATTCTATGTAAGGATGAAAAATAGGGCGTGGATTAAAACACTAAATTGTTTTTTTTATGTGTTATTTGAACAAACGTCCCTAACAATCATGTTTGACGTCATGAAAATAATGAAATACAGAAAGAAAAATAATGATTATAAAATAAAATAAAAACACACACAACTTTAGAATGGTATGTTTCATTGACCTCATGTCCTGAGTCTGGTACTTTGAGAACCACTGACCTTGGATCAAAGTACATCCAAGGTAGACCATGGGAGCACAGGGAGAAGAGGGAGTCCCAGCCTCCTGCTCCTACTCTGAGGAGCACAGCATTGGCCGTCTCCGAGGCCTAGGAACTGGTGGTGGCATTAGGGCAGCAGGAAAGAGCGCACGCTCGAGCAAGGAGAGAGAGGCGGAGGAGGGGAGGCGGTGGTTGCGAGGCTTGAGAAGGCCGTAAAATGGTAGTCTCCGCTTTTAAGCTGCTTGCCTGGCCTGCATAGGTTGGCTGGAAATGGGCGTTTGCTGTGCGATAGGCCGAGGATGAGAGGCAGGCTTGGAGGGGATAGCTTTGGCAATTAGTCTACCAGAGTGAACCTTCGCGAAGCTCCATTTGTGTCTGACTGAAACTGGGATTAATCATTGAGGAGAGGCGGAGCGTTTGTTTTAATATCAGCTTCAACAGAACAGCAGGAATACTCTTTATTTCAAAAAAATCTCTATCACTGTGGGTTCTATATGTTTCAATTCTTGCCAAATCCTGTGAAGTTTTGAAATTTGGTCCAAAAAGCGTTGCTGTAGATGCATTGGTGAGTGAGGAGACAGATCTTATACTCAATACAAAGTGTCACCTGCTGTGAGAGTGAAATAAAGGTGCATAATTTGTTTACTGTGTAAGTGTGAGAGAATACTTTCAATCACAAGACCCTCAGCAAGCCAGCAAAAAGGGTAACCTTTACTTTCACTTTGAATGAATATAAATATACATATATACAATACATTGCTTATCTTACCACTCATCCCCGCCCATCTGTATATGTTAAAAAGCAGATATTCAAAATTGATAATATCCAAAAAACATCTGTTTGTAATGTTCGAATTGTATTGCCCCATAATTTATGTTCTGGTTTCGTGAATAACTTTAAAGTTGCCTTATTTATGAACTGTGCTATACAAATAAACGTATATGGGCATTTGTTACAGGGCATTTGACCGACTCGCAGGGGGGCACATGGGCCAGCACAGTGAGGACGAGAGGATCATGCCTGGGAGCCAGTCAACTCCCAGGGCTGCAAAAGATAAGGTTTTCAAATAAGCTGAAGACTGATTCCATTTACAACATTTTACTTCCACAAGAGACTTTCTGATGGGACAACAAGAACATGTTATTAAAGGTATATAGAAAGATTTTCTACTTCCGGGTGGATCATCAAGACTATGGGTCCTGCTAATTGTCAATCCTTCTGGTGATATGTGCTCGTCAAATAAGGCCAGAAAGTTTTTTCAAAAAGTGGAGAGCGCTGGGACAGGAAGCAGTTCTTGCACACTATCAAATATTACAAGAGATAAGTGAAAAGTCTAAAGTTAGTACGTCCATCATTCCACATCAGCACAGTTTCCCATAGCGCTGCAGATAGAGAAGCGGCATCAGCAGCATCGTCACCAGATTTACCCATTTCACAACTTCCCCAAGCACCAGGCAATAAAGCGTGATTTGAATGTCCCAGACTGCACAGATGACGCTCCCATACAAGTTCCAACTGAAACGAAACACCAGCACGACCAAGATGATCAATAAGATTAAAAACGGCTTTTGCTTGGATGTGTCCATTTTGGAGTTGTTCCCCGGTTTGGGCTGACACAACACCACAAGGACGGAAATAGAGCAGAAAAGCATGACGAACATCAGAATTGCAACTTCAACCACGTCCAGAGAAAATAAAACGTTTGAGTCTAGCGTGTGACCCATTATAATTGCCTTGACCAAAGCCAGAAGCCAAACAGAAGCCAAACAGCGAGCTGGCGTTACGTATCCAAAGTCCTTTCCCTTGTTTTAGACTCAAGTACGTCACAGGGTAGATGACAGCCATGTACTGCTCTATACTGGTGTAAACTGGGAATATAGTTTCGCCGTAGTATGAGAAACTGGACAGTACCATATTCATGTCGTTATCGTGAGTGATGAGCGAAATAGTGCAGGTGAAGACGGCGATGAGCTCCGAGGCGACCATGTTGTAAGTGAAGAAATCTGAGTGGCTGATGGAGTTTCTGTGCGACCTCCAGCGTATGAATCCCAGGTTAAGTATGTAGACACAGATGGGAAGATAGACCAGGATGTAAGAAATGGAATAACTCAGCATCAGGATTCTCTTCAAGTCTGTGCTGTTGTGTGTGCAAAAAAATGGAAGAGAATGTTGAATTGCACCGTAGGTTTTGCAAAACAGTCCTGTATAGCCTCAGTCCTGGATCTATAGCCTGAGTCATGGATCTATAGCCTCAAACTGGATCAATAGCCTCAGTCCTGGATCTATAGCCTCAGTCCTGGCTCTATAGCCTCAACCTGGATCTATAGCCTCAGTCCTGGATCTATAGCCTGAGTCCTGGATCTATAGCCTGACTCCTGGATCTATAGCCTCAGTCCTGGATCTATAGCCTTCATACCTGGATCTATAGCCTCAACCTGGATCTATAGCCTGAGTCCTGGCTCTATAGCCTCAACCTGGATCTATAGCTTGAGTCCTGGATCTATAGCCTGAGTCCTGGATCTATAGCCTAAGTCTTGGCTCTATAGCCTCAGCCCTGGATCTATGACCTCACTGCCTAATCTATTGCTTCAGTCCTTAGTCCTACACCTCCAGGAGATCTATTTATTATCAAAAAATGATCAAATAAAGACGGCAAGATATTCTTCCTTTTAGGTTGTTAATAGTGACTCAGATGTGAACAAAATGTGAAGGTCTAATGTGGTAAAGTGATGTGGGTTCCTGTCTGAACTGAGACAAGGTTTTCCGTGGTGCAAGACCAGTTTTCCACCTACTGGTCAGAGTGGTAATAGCTACTGCTTATAACAATACAGCCAGGAGTCAAATCTTCAAAAATTATATTTGTGTGGAGAGTTCCCAAGTGACTGGAATGAGGAATTGTCACCACCTGCTGGTCTGTGTAAATGTATTTCCTTCAAATTTCAATGTTATTATTCAAATCACCTTATTTGCATGTTCGACGTAATTTACCCACTTCTAAGACAAGATGATGTGTTCTATCCATGTTTATTCCATTCATGTACAGTGTATCTATATAATGTTGTGCCAATAGAAAGAGCCCTATAACTCTTTTCTTCCCACTGCTTGTTAGAGTTTTTTTTTTCGGTTCTAAGGTCAGGGGACGCTGAGGGACATTTATCCATTTGCTTATATCCATGGAACACTGGTTAATCAATCCTGCCTTTTTGACAAGAATGTTGAGTCTGTAATTAATTCTGTCAGCAAATCTAGAACTACTCACATAAAAATAGATAATTTCATAGAGTAAAACTACAAATAGAAACAGAAAATGTCATAAAGTACTAAGATAAGATATACTTTATGATCTCACAAAGGAGAAATGTACATGTCACATCTGGCATGGATAGAAACACTCAAGATTGTGCAAAAAGAAAGGAAATGTGCAAACATGGTAAATGCAGGATATTTTGATGCCACAATAAAAAGTGGCATTTTAAAAAGTGGCAACCAGAAACAGTGTCAATAGTAGTGCAGGTTTTTTCAGTCTTAATGCAGTGACTTTTAAAGTGACTTGTTGTACAGTCTGACAGCAGTGGGGGATAAAGATGACGACTATATAATGTTGATGAGCTGTCAAATTGTCTTCTCTGGGAGTTCTCTTGTTTATCTCAAATAAAAATAAAAAGATAAATACATAAAATAACCACCATGAGCATGGGTGGAGTATATAAAATATCTTGTGTAAAACAAATATTTGGTACAAAAAAAGAGACTTACCAGAAAAGGTTCAGGCTGTTGTCAGAAGGTACCGTACAACAGATGGAACATACGTCAAACCGTCTTTAGAACTACACGTTATTCGAATGATGTCCCTGTCCCCACAGATCATGTTTTGTATGTGGCTGGTTGATGGTAATGCTTGGTCATATGCCTTTTCCATGACAACCTTCAGTACCTGTGTCTATTGGACTGTGTTTTAGTGCAGGCCTTATGCATTTAGTTACATTAATGTCTGTACGATCTAAACACATTTCAATTTCTTACATATAAAAAATTGAGTTCCATTGAAACGGACCCTGCTGAGGAATTTTAGAAATGTAATGTAAAACGGGGAAAACTCAATGTTTTTATGGTCAAGTTATTTGGATCACGCCTCAAAATGGATCATCCTTCCATTATCTTTCGTTTTATCCATTGCCGGGTCTCGGAGGCTCTGAGCAAAAACCACCTTATACCACACACACTTCCTCCATTGCCTTATGACTAAAATGTAAATGTTTCAATTATGCTTTGTTTCTCATTCCTCTCTGCATGAGTGACTATAGTGTGTGCTACAGTATCAAATAAATAAATGTACAAATAAATCTGTACATGCAAATAATTTTTCCACAGTGAGTTTTATTTACATGCAGTCACAAGCCCATGCAAACAGCTCGTATTCAAAGCAGTCACAAGCATCAGTTAGGTTGCACAAGACAAATACAGAACATTGTAAACAGACAGAACACAGACATAAGCTCACAGGGAATTACAGTTTCTGGAGCGATGTCCCAAGGTTTATACGGGGCAAACCCAGGCATAAGGAGGCAGAGTTTTCCGGC